AAAAGAATTGGTATGGAGTACGTTGATATATATTTTAAGGATCAGAGGCCAAGGGGGAATTTGAAAAGTATTAATTATACACACTCCAATAGAATTTGAATATATATTCTAATCCAAACATCGAAGAGCAGTGATCAACATAGCACTTTGGCAGGACTGTATTACAATTAATCAGAGCCTGTATTATCATATGTGACTCAAGTTTTTAATCAAACACATTCCATTTAATCCAGTTGCTTAATTTCCATCGCAGTCTCATCAACACAATACACTAGCATTACAATACTGATCAGTACTAGCACAGTTTTTGTTTTCTCAGATCTGTAAACAACCTCCATGAGTACTTAGTCATAATCATATCAAATTGTTTTCTATAAAATTCTTCTTTCAACATCAAGGATATTTTTTTTCACCGTACCATTTTTTCAGTTTCATTGTTACCCATTTTCCTAGAAGTTAGAACATAATTAAAAAAAACTAGTCTTCGTGTCCTTCTTTGTACAGGTTTAATAACCCTTTGCTTTAACATGAAAATACTTCTCTTGGTTATGCATTTGTTCCAAGATTCAAATATGCTGTTTTACTCACAGTAGAATAGAAATTTTGGTGTATAATTTTGCATGTCCTCTCATTTTCCTTGTTTTAAGTTGGGAAATGCATGACAGAAAAAAACTCTAATAACAAAAATGCCTAAATTGGCATTTGGACAAATTAGACAGATTACTGCTCTGATAATTTCTCATACCCATGTACTCATACAGATGCCTTCTCAAACATAAACTGACACATTAAACAGCAAATAAATTAATAATAACATTTCTCTAGGACCTATCAGCTATATTAAATATAGAGAAACCCTTTGTATTCAAGTGGATGGACTGCAAGACAGGAATTGGGAGAGCAATCTCCCCTCCACTGTAAGAGCAGATCAGGTTTGTGACCTCCTGAGGAAGAAGGATTTACAGAAACTTTTGGCACCCAGTGAGATGCATCCTAGAGTCTTGAGAGAGCCGACTTGCCAAGTCACTCTCCAAGATATTCAAAATGTGATGGCAGTCAGGTGAAGTCCCAAGTGACTGGGAAAAGGGAAAATTGTACCCATCTCATAGAAAGGTAAAGAAGAGGAGGACCTTGGGAACAGCTGACCTGTCAGCCTCACCTCTGTGCCTGGGAAAGTCAGGGAACAGATCCTCCTAGAAGCCATGCTAAGGCACTTGGAGGACAGGGAGGTGATTTGAGGCAACAAGCATGCCTTCACCCAGGGCAAGTCCTCCCTGACCAATGTAGTGGCCCTCTATGACAGGGTGGCTCCATCAGTGGACAAGAGAAGGGCTGTGCATCTATCATAGGTATTATCATTATCATCTATCATAGGTATTATATCATCTATCAATCTGTCTGAATTTCTATAAGGCCTTTGAAACTGTCCCCCACAAAATCCCTCTGACTAAATTGGGGAGGGAAGGATTTAATGGATGGACAGTGTGGTGGATGATGAATTGGTTGGACAGTCACAACCAGAGGGTAGTGGTCAAACACTCAGTGTCCTGATGGACATCAGTAACAAGTGGTGTCCTCAGGGATCTGTACTGGGACCAGTGTTCTTTCATGTCTTCATTAATGACAGAGGGATGACAGATGACACCTGCACAGCTTAGTGATGCAGTTGTCACGCTTAAAGGACAGGATTCCATCCAGAGGGACCTGGATAAGTTCAAGAAGTGTGCCCATGGGAATCTCATGGGTTTTAACAAGCCCAAGTGCTGGTGCTGCACCTGGGTCAGGGCAGCCCCCAGTACCAGCACAGGCTGGGGATGGACAGATCAGAGCAGCCCTGCCCAGCAGGACTTGGGGGTGCTGCTGGGTGAGAGGCTGGGCATGACCCAGCCATGGGCACTGCCAGCCCAGAGAGCCAAAGGTGTCCTGGGCTGCATCCAGAGCAGCGTGGGCAGCAGGGCAGGGAGGGGATTCTGCCCCTCTGCTCTGCTCTGCTGAGACCCCACCTGCAGGGCTGCACCAGCTCTGGGGTGCCAGCACAGCAAGGACATGGAGCTGCTGGAGAGAGTCCAGAGGAGGTCACAGAGATGATCAGAGGGATGGAGAAACTCTCCTGTGAGGAAAGGCCCAGAGAATTGGGAGTGTTCAGCTTGGAAAAGAAGCTATGTAAGATCTTATTGCTGCCTTCTGGTACCTGAAGAAAACTTATAAGAAAGGGGGAGAGGGACTTTTTACAAGGGCCTGGAGTGACAGGATGAGAGGAAGTGACTTTAAATTTAAGAAGGGTAGGTTTAGAGCAGATATGAGTAAGAAGTTTTTACAATGAACATAGTTAAACACAGGATCATGTTGCCCAGAGAAGATGTGGGTACATCAACCCTGGAAGTGTTTAAGACCGAGCTGGATGAGACTCTGAGCAACCTTCTCTAGTGAAAGGTGTCCCTGCCCATGGCAGGGAGCTAGGACTAGGTGACCTTTAAGAGGTCCCTTCCAATACAAACTATCCTGTGATTATATAATAGACATACTAGAAAACAGAAAGATAGACCTCCCCATACTTACCACATGTAATGATTAAAATGAAAACAGTCTAGGCTAACAATAATGTTAACAAAATGTCATCTGCAAATGATAGTGACTTTTTCTAGAAGGTCAAAATATGAAAAAATAAATTTATAAGTGCTGAATTAAAATTATAAAAAAATAAAAAAAAATTATTAAAAATAAATTTATAATGTAAGATCAGTTAAATTTCAAGGAAAAAAGTCACTACATGCAGTTTTTTAAATATGAACTGTCAAATGCTTTTGCCCTACTTCCACTTTTGGCTGCTTTGATTCTTTCTTTTTTACAGAGTAGACCTGTTTTACTCTGGATGTGGTTGCTGTTAGCTATGGATTCACGTGGGATGTCAAGGTGGTGGATAGCTCCTCCTGCAGCATGTCGGCTGATGCCAGCAGAACTTGGACAGGCAGAGTGATGCAGTTCTTATATAACACCCAGGGTTAAAAGCTGAATTTTCTCCCATTTCCAGCAGCACTCAGATTACTTTTCTTGTTCTACACTGGCATAGAGTAATAGATATCAAACTTGACAATGCTGAAGTGCTGAATAATACCCACTTAATACTGATGAACCTCAAATCTTCTTAATCTTTAGGTAATTTAAGATGAGCTAAGCAATTGCATCTTTGGACTATTTCTCTGACATTTTTTCAGTTGCTTTTTCCTCTTCTGTAATTTTCTCAATCTATGTATGATGGTGATATTTATTGTAAAACATTAACTTATTCAAATGTGATCCTTTATTGTATGTATTCGCAACCAAGACATCAGAATTATTGCCAGCCCTTGACACTGAAATTTTATTTGTTTAATGGAAATTGCTTATTGGAAAACTTTTATTTCCCCAACATAAAATAAAGAATAATGTATAGAACATCCCCTATAAGCCAAGTATAAATTTGGAATTATGAGTAGCAAATTCTCTAAATAAATAATTTGCTTGCTTTCAAGGTTTTTAATAGAGGATAAATGCTTATGCTATTATCCTTTTGAATTTTGTAGGCATGTGCTGGTAGCACATGTTAACTGATATACATGGGGATTTGTGTCGTGTTCCATCAGTAAAGGGACTGGTTTGCCAGTAAAAGTCAGCCACAGGCACCTCACGGGCCTTCTTACCTACATCATTGTTCAGTGCAAGGTGCCTATGATATGGTTCCTATATAAGGGACTATTATCATAGAACATTTGGTTTATGATTGGACTTGATGTTTATAAAGGTCTTTTCCAACCTAAATGTCTGCTTCTGTGATTATACTGAACTCAACCCTGGATGAAATATCGAGAACATTCATAACTCACAGTGTCATATTTCTGTCAACATTACATTTTTTCCAGGTCAAACACAATCACATTCTCTCTGAAATGATCCTGTTGTTTGGCAGATCCGTTTACACTGTAAGCAAGGAGCTTGCACTATGTCATTTAAATTATATAAAGGGAACAGAAAAAATAAAATCATCCATTTATCTTCAACAATATTATATGTTACATATTCTTCCTATAGCCATAACTTGTTGAAGAAAATTAAATTTTGCAGAATTAACTCTCCCATGCTTTCAAAACCTGTTGTTTTCCGACCAGGTCAAAAGAGGGTAAAATATACTTTCCTCCTGAAGGCCTCTGAGCAAGCTCCAGGCTCACTCATATGGTTCTTCAGCACAAGGAGAAGTTATAGCTGTGACAGGGCTTTCAAATAACATCTGAAAACAATACAGTGTTACTTCACTTCTGCATCCAGACTAACAGGTCAGATGTAAACCAGCTTGAGTAACATGGTTATGGCATGGCCTTAAGGTCAGCTACATTACTTACTGATCTGGGCTGCCAACATTTCCCATGACAAAGTATGGACATATAAAAACCATTTTGTTTTCTTCAGGATGAAATCAAAAAGAAAATAATCTGTCAAACCCTAGATCAAAACAAAACTGTCATATTCTGCACCATGAGAATGATGATATCTCCCATAAGAACTTCCAATTCATAATTTCATCTTGAAATATATTTTGCTTATTTTACCTCATACTTCAAAGCAGTATGATAATGCTACTTCAGTTCATGTATATCAAAAGTGTTGGGAGACTCACTAGAAACCAAACCAAACAAACCAACCAATCAAACCAACCAAAACCCAGTCTAATTTCTGGTCTTAAACTAAGCATATAGGTTCTGAAACATAATATATTTAAGAAATTATATGGTATTTAGAATGTTAAAGGTATAATGAAAAAAATCAGCAATTCTTTTTATTATGAGAATATATTAGAGTTTAAATAAAATAATATTCTAAAGTGTTTTAAATACTGAAAACTACTAAATAAAAAAAATTCTAAAATAATATTTTCCCCCTAATGTTGTTCAACCAAATTGACTTGAAAATACATTTGTCATTTGCTGTTATGGGTCATAACAGCAAATGTTATACAAATATCTTACTTGACTTCCAGTTATTCTGCTCAACTTCATGGTCACTCACTTTCAGTTCATAACTTGGAAATCTGCAACAGGAATGATTATTTTTCTTGACTGTGGGTTTATCCTTGCAGCTATGGAAATAAAATGTATATATTTGTTTTTCTGAAATTCATTTAAAATAAAAAAAAACCTGCATATTCCCTAACATTTCTAAACTTAATAAAGTTATTTTAATTTTTTTATTTTTTATTTGCAGCCCAATAGCTATTGATAGATATTATCCATTTATTCTATCCTAAATTCTTCTGTGAAGTAACCATTTTAGATCACTAGCAAGTTAAATCTCAGACAAGGCTAATCCTTGATTTTATATTTTTACAGGTTATATGGACTGGACTTTAACTAAATGCCTGTTGTCCAGACAATCCTGGCAACAGCTGATTTTCCAGGGTACATATATTTTCTCTATGGCATGTTAAGGACAACAGAATATTTTTTTTAATTTGCTATTCATGGTCACTCATAACAAACTCCTTTAATCCTCTAATATTTTTCTTCATCCTCTTACAACTGTATTTTTACGTTTTGCAGGTGTGCATGGGATACTGAATGGAAATGAAAGAAAATAATTGTCTGAAGGAAGTTGTAGCTGAGGCTACGGGCTTGCAAACTGTTCTGGACCTGCTCAGATTCTCCCTGTGGCAGTCCCAGAAACTGTGATGTCCCAAAACACATTTGATCCTGCATTGGTTTAAAGCAGCAAGACTTTGGTATTGAATCAGAGTGGAACAAACCTCCCATCTGCTGCAGAGATTTGATTTATCGCAGTGAAACAGCAACATAAACCTGAGAGCAGGCAGCACTGAACTGAAAGTTCAGGCACGTGGAACACGAGGCAGCAAGAACTCCAGTTTCCAAGTTGTATTAACTTTGCTAATGCTGATTGGTAGGTACTTGTTCTCTAGTGAAATTGTCAGTCCAGATTTAGGAATTTCTTGCACACAGAAAGTGTCAGGGTACTATACCTAAGCAAGCATTCGGACAGTAAAAAGTCTCCCAAGACAAGGCTGTAGGGAAAACCAATGATGAAAAAGAAAAGGCTGCTGAGCAACAACAATGCTAAAATAGTCAGAATAAAGTTGGATCTGGACTACTAATCCTTGTTTCTAATGGCCTTTCTCTGATAAAAAAAGGCAAAAACAATGTTTCTCTTTTATACTGCATCCCAGTGAAAATATTCAGGTCTTGTGTGTCTGATTTGGAAAGCAGATCTCACACCTACCAAAAAATGATTCAGAAGTGAATTATTCAGAGATAACCTGACATTCTTTCCTCTGATAATAGGATATCTAAACTCTGAATGAATTAATGGCATGTAAGGATGACTATGAGATTAATCCCGACAGAAAAGCAAAGTGGCAGGATGCCTAATTTGAGAATCTTCCATGCTCACCTTTGCAGCTGCTTGGCGTATTCAGGATGTGTTCAGGAATCCGGTATCCAGCATCAGAAACATGGGCATCTAGAAGAGTTCATTGGAGTATTTTGGTGGTGAGATGAATTCAGTGTCTTTCAGGTTAAGCAGCAGCTAAGCAGGGCTTTCTGAGGGTCTCACAGCTGTACTGAAGAACTAAAGTGGCAGCCTAAATTTAGAGAGCTAAAATGCTCTCTAAATTCCATTGCAAACCTATGTGAGAGAGGTAGGGAGCTAATCTTGGGCAAGGATAGCTATTGCCAAAGGCTTGGGCCTAAGGAAAGCATGTGCCAATGTTTTGAGATACTGAGACTTTAGTTCTTGCTTATGCTCCTTTCTGGCTGTGGACTATGCTGAATTAATCACCTGAAACAATTATGTCTCTTGTACAGAAATACAATAAATTTCTTGTACAGAATTATAGAGATGTACTCACTGCCAGTCCAAAAGCTCTTCCAAGCTGCTCTGAATCTCCTCAGTACTTAGTAGGTGCTTGGAGCTAAGGTGTTTGATCCTAGGCATCTTAAGTAGGTGTTATCCATATTCCCACAAATGGGAAATGTGGATACAGACAGTTTAATTTCTGAGCTTCTATACATCAACTTCTGCTTCCTGGTGTGTCCTTCCTGTCCTTTAATGTGTGTAGCAAACTAACAGTTAATCTGTTACCTATATAAAAAATGGTACCTTTCTTTTTGTGACTTCTCTTATGTACTGCCTGAACACCACAATTTAACTTCATACTTACTTGCTAAAATCTACTTCTGACTTACGCATCAAAGAAAACAAACAACAGGATGACAAGTAATATTATTCAAAAAATCCCCCTTTTTTTCCCTGTGACTTAAATGCTTTCCTTTTGAGAACTTGTATATTAAATATTAATCCACGGAGAACATTCATCAGTAAATTACAGTTAGCTAGTAATTATAGAAATCAAATTTAATGGAAATATTCCCAGAAGTTTAGCTAAAGTGTAATCTATAAGAAAATCTAATGTAACTAGATAGATAACAATAAAAATATAACTAATAAAGAGTAATTTCTTTGTGATACAGATTGGATAAAATAGCTACTATTCTTGGGAGCATATACTGATTTATGGAAACCCATTTTGTTTCAGCTTGCTAGTAACTTCATAATTCTTGGTACTATTTCACTGGTTTTTTTTACTAATCTTTCTTCTGATGTTGAGGTACAGTTTTTTTCAACTCTTGAAATACTTTTTCTAGAGTGGGGGACATTTCCTGTAAAAGAATATGATAACCCTTTACAGACCAGACACGGATAGCTAGTAGATGTTTGTGATGGTACATGTATGGCCAGTAAAACTCCCCTCCAAGGCTTGCTCAGACTAGGAAACTCATCTATGGATTATTTGCATACAGATAGAACCACTCAGAAGAGGTGGAGGTTGCCATACGTGTTGCTGAAATCTATTTTCTGTTTGCAGATGCAGTATAAATGTGGTTGCCTTTTACCAAATTTCCTATGAGCTTTTGCTCCTGATGCATAGCTGAAAAGTAGCTGTGCAGAAAAAGGCCTGTGGGGACACCAAGTTGAACTGGAGCCAGCACTGTGCCCTTGCAGCAAAGAAGGCAAATGTCATCCTGGGCTGCATTAGGAAGGTTGTTGCCAGCAGGCTGAGTGAGCTGCTCCTGTCCCTCTGCTCAGCACAGGGAGGCCACTTCCAGAGCATTGTGTCCAGTGTTGAGCTTCCCAGGAGAGAGAGAAATGGACATTCTGGAGAAGTGAGAGGAGATGGCTGAGGGACTGCAGCACCTCCCCTGTGAGGATAGGCTGAAGGAGGTGGCACTTTTCAGCCTGGAGAAGAGCAGGTGCAGGGGGACCAATGCACAGAAATGCCTGAAGGGATGCTGTAAAGAAGAGGGAGACAGACTCTTTTCAGCAGCATGCACTGGCAGGATCAGAGGCAATGGCTACAAACTGAAATACAGGAGGGTGTGTCTGAACATCCAGAACTGCCAAGAAATATCTGAGGTTGCTCAGAGAAGTTGTGAAGTCTCCAGTTTTGAAGACATTAAAAAGGCATTTGAACATGGTCTTGGGCAATCAGCCCTAGGTGAACCTGCCTGAGGAATCCTGTAGCTTTGCCATTCTGTGATTTTGTGAACTCACAGTACACCTGAAAAATTAATTTTCATAAGATATGATGTATGTTGCACTGGGTTTACTCTGCACAGATAATTATGCGTAATTGAGCTTACATTGAAAATCTTTATTATAGGACTCTGTATGAACATCTGAAATGTAGTACACAGGGACCTTTTTATTCTCTTTTAGTGTGCCATTAAGGTTTTTAAAAATTCTTGAAAGTTTGATTGAATGCTTATTTCCTATTTTTATTGTAATTACACTATAAGTTAGCCTTCTAAAAACTCTTTTGACTTGTATATACTGGATACAAGCATAACTTAACCCTCTTTGGTTAGTTTTGAGATACACACCAAGGGTACTGCTAAATCTGACCACAGAAAGCAGTCATTAGTGAGAATTGTGATTATCTTTGTGATGGGACTATCCATCCATTAGTCATGGTGCGAATCTATTTACAAAATCAAGTGTAGATTAGAAGGAGGGTTTTCTTCAAAATTCTCCTGTGTAAATGACATAAAAATATATTACACTGTGCTTGATAATGTAAATTGTAGCAAAGTATTGCTATTCTATATACTGCTGGATCAAGCGATCAATATTTTAGGATGAAAGATTAATGGACTTGTAATATTGTATTAAAAATAGAAAATTCATGACATTCAGGTCAATTCTGCCACGTTAAGAATAATTCTTACCATATGGATAATTTTTTATTGCTCTAATTGGTAGTTGTTTTCTTGCTCAACAATACATCTGCTACAGCTTCCTTGCAGGAGAAAAAGTGTAGAAGTATCAAAAAGAGTATTTCTCCCCTTCATGCATGCCTGCAGTGTCTAATGGTATTGTAGTAGTAATTTCCTCAAAAGTGGCTCATTACCAGCAGTTAACAACCCCTTCCAGCAATTAACTAATTATCTTGCCTTTGACTATGGTGAAAGGAAATGGCTATCAAGGGCATTGTTTGCTCAATTAACCAAAAGCAGTAGACACTAATAATTGTAGAAGGAAATCCCTCCAAAATGCAGTAATTTTACTCAATTTTTCACAGGAGCTGTGCAGTCTGATATGTTAAATTAAAGAAATTCAGAGGAATTAACATGCGAGAGTATACACGTGTGCGTGGTGTTGTTCGTTTGTTTTTCCAAACAAGTATTAGGACAAGAATATTCTTCTGTAAAATGCCAGTTCCCATGCTCTGCCAAGGTATTTTCAGAGCTCTAACTAAAGCAGCCATGAGCAGCTCTGGCTGGGATGGTCTCTGGTATCGTGGGAGCTGGATGCAGCCCAGGGCAGGATTGTGCTTGGCCAGCTGCCTTTTCCCCAGAAGAGCTGCCATGGCTTCCTGCACGTGGGCGGAAGGATGGATGGATGGGGATGGATGCCTCCTACAGAGGGCACAGCAACACCTCCAGATGGCCCATGCAGAAAAGACAAGGCAAAGCTGGTTTCTCTGCCTAGTAAAAAGACTGCCCAGTACCTCTCAGAACAGTGTCTTTAGGCTTCAGCTACCCTGATTTGTGTAAGATTCATAACAAAAAAACCCGAAAACCCCAAGCAACTCACCACTATATAAACAGTTGCTGGGTAAAAGTTCTTCAGTGAACTTTTGATATATTGATATATTGATATATATAATGATATAATATATTATTGATATATATAATGATATATTGATATATGTAATGATATATTATTGATATATATAATGATATATTGAAATATATAATTATATATTATGATTTTTTTTAATAAAAAGAGATAACTTTTATTCAGAAGGCAGCTAATATAATTTATAATTTCTCATTTTCTTCAGAGGAAAAAAATTATATCTCATAATGCTAAACTGGATTATCTAACAGGAACTGTGAGATGCACAAATTTATTGGCGAGTCCTTACCTTTTTTCCCATGCTCTTAAATATTCTTGGCTTTTTCTGCTGGCCCAAGCTGACTCCACCTTTCTCAGATGACCAAAATGCCACTGTAAGGTGGGGTGCTTTTCTTCCCATTTTATTTCCCTGTAGAAAATAAGAATTGATACACTTGTAAATTAATCACAACTCTCAAAAAGAAAAAAAAAAAGCTGAAAATTACCACTGGCTTTTCTTTCCTCACTGTTAGTGGGAATGGGAAAAAAGCAACAAACTCTTCTTCCCTGACTCCTCTCATCCCCAGCCATGAACTGTCACTATTTTCTGGCTAGGAACAAAAACAGATTTTGGAAACCTGTATGTATGATAACTGCCAATATTTCTCTTCACTTTACAAATAATATAAACATAAATACATTAGAAATTCAGAATTCTGAGAACTTGTAAAAACAATCCCATGTAAAAATAATTCTCAATTATCTGAGAAAAAAAGTTAGATTTCTTTCTCACAAAGCAGTGTTTGTGACCTTTTTACATTATCATTTGTCTTTCTTACTATTCATATAAACAACTGTACCTGCAGTTTTTAAATTCTTCATGTTTCTCACTATTTTCTCTAATCTCTTAGTTCTGCACAAACAGGATTTATTTTACCTTTTGCAGTGGGCAGATTTGGAAATATCCTTGTTGAAGGAAATATAAGGCATAAAATACGTGAAGGTGGAGATATTGTACCTTTAATTAATTTTATTAAAACCTTTTCACTAAAGAGTAAAAACTTCATCCATGTCTAATGATCTAATGCTTTTTCATGGAAATTCTTCAATTAATTCTAATGAGTAATTAAGTCTTCAAGGTTTATAGAAAAATTATGTCCTGCATATTCTAACGTGTTTACACCTGTGGTCAATTCTTCTGGTGGGTGGTGGATCATTTTTCTTGAATAATTTTTTTATTTATCATTATTAAATATGTGCAGCTGAGATCAATTTGTGAAAATGCATCATGTGAGCCTGAATAACATTTCTGCCACCTACATAAGGACAGGCAAGTACTCCACACTGCTAGATAGATAACCATAAAGACAGTTCAGTATCCCTGTTTTATCCTTTCTTTGGTTGTTTTGATTTGACTTGGAAATATAGGCAGCAACCCTAGTGTAGCAACTGATACATTAGAGGCTATTTGTCTACTAGCAGCAAAACTATGAACCTGTCAATGTAATAATTCATATTAAGTTGCTTCCAACCTACCTAAATTTGGCATTTTTTTAAATCAATCTTTGTGAGCTGCTAACCTATTAAACAGATTAATCCTAACCTCAAGAGCTACTATAAATAACCCAGTAATAATCAACTGACAACAAAATTAATACGCACAATATTTAAGAATCAACTGAATAAGTACTACGCCTGAAAGACAACCCCTGCTCTTTAGTTTAACATTAGATTAAAAGCAGATGGATAATATAAATGTCCACATGTCTTAACATTCTGTATGTTCACCATCCTGTGACTCTTTTTTGACTTTGACCACATCTATCACGTCTTGAGACTTTGGAGAATTAAAGCAAGCTTAAGTCGCCAAAAAGTATCCATGCAATTCCATGCTGTTGTGAGTGAGAAATCATGACAGTTCAGAAAATACAGTCTGCTATTGCTAGTGACCAAACTTCTGCAGGCAAAATAAAATGATAATGTGTTTTCCAAAGGTGGGAACAACTGCCCAGATCATTAGCAAAGAGAATAATGAAAATTTGTCTTGAAGAATTACATAATATTAATGGATAAAGCAGAAAATATTCTTTTATTGTGAAATTTGCCATCTAGTAGCCATTCCCTGTGTTGTCTTAAAGCCCTTCTCAAAAAAAAATCTGTTCAAATTAAGAGAAGATGAAAAAAATAAAATAAAGAAGTATACAGTGCTGTACACTGTCTCTGGTACAACATGAATGAAGATTTCAGAAGACAAAATCATACATTCCCTTGCAAAACTCTGAAATGACATATAAAGTATTAAACTTAAAAATTTCTACTGAAAAAAGATACACATGTAAAAATGAAAGTTCAAAAGAATGGAATAACTATCAAATTACAACAAAAATATTTTAAATTACTTAGTTAAATCATTATAGTTATAAACTTAGAGCAAAGAAGTTTACAATTCACATAAAAGAAGGCCTATTCAAAGAATCCGAGAAGCTCCTGATTGACTGAATTGAACTCTTGTATAATTTGAAACAAAGGAAAAACCTCCCTGTCTACCCCCTCCTCTGTAATGCTAAGTTGTCAGAAAAGACATTTTATCTGTGCTCTCCCCATTCTAAGGATCATGTTCCAGCTTAGCATAAAGATAGATGCAGTAGCACATCATGCCTAAAGTAGTATGTCACTTACACAGCAGATGGAACCCAGTAACTCAGCCCAGTCTGGGAAAATGACCACAAAAGAAGTATTTTAGCCCAAAAGACCAACACAGCAAAACAACAGGAATTTTTTATTCTTCCCAGTATATTACTAGCAAGCTTACTTCTTGTTGAATAAAGAAAGCCCACTGCAGTAGAGCAGACATGTCACTTGAAAATGTTCAGTTGTATCACCCCAACAACACTTAGAAAGGGCACATTGGTGATTAAGGTTTTAGGAATAGTTTTTTCCATTTTAAGGCAAATAAATCATCTGCTCATTCACCTGAAGAGTGCTGTTGTTTTTGCCTTCCTTGTAGGTTCCCTGCTATCTGTGATTGATATTTTAAAAAGCATTTTGTTGGAGGCCTACCTTCCTTTCTGCTGCAGTCAAGGGTAAAAGTCCCCTTGATTTTCACTAGGAGCAAATAACCGCAAGTTCTATTTATAGTTTCTTCTTGCCATGGGCTTCTGATTTCTGACATCATCATAGATTTTTTAAATTTTTCTAAAAGAGCTACTTTTCTAATAATAATTTAAAAATATTTTTTCAGAAAGGCTGCATGATAGTTGCATTACTATTTTTAAGTACAGAAGACATAACCTAAAGCATAACATAATTAATAATTATAATTAGTGTTGAAATATCAGCAGTATTAACTAGGCTAAGCCCTTCTTTTGGAGTTTCAATGGAACTGTATTTGCAGGGCTGCTAGAATGAACAGAGAAAATGTCTATGCCATTTTGTAGGATGCTTCAGAAGGGCAACAACCAGGCTTCACAGAAAATGGCTGATTTCTGCTATAAACAAAAAAGGCATTAGCATTGCATAATAGCTCCAGGGCTGGTTTCAGCTGCATTATGTCACATAAGGATGAATGTGAGAATTGCAAGGTGATCTGGGGTGAAAAGCACAGTATGTTTCCTAAACTAGAAACAGTCAAAACCTATTGATGCATCCAAATAACACTTACTTTCAAAACCATTCAGAAAATCAACATATCTCCTTAAAAGCCTTCATAAATGTTTAACACCTTGGCACAAGAATACCTATGCCCTTAGTACAAAAGATTTTGTCTGGATTACTGACCCATTATTATTACTGATGTATATTTTTCTGTCTAAATCTGTGGCACCCTTGGTGCTTGCCCTTGTGTGCAGATGAAAGGCGTCCTTTGACACTCAGTGCTGGCAATATTTGTCACTGCTGTGGCTCTGGCTTCAGGCTCTCAGATAGTCATGAGACAATCTGAGGGAGTAGCCAGGGGTTTGAAGTTAACAAAAAGTGACTGAGTTTGTATTGAGGACTGTTATGTTAAATAAGGTTAGGTCATCTGGTTTAAGCAAGCACACTATAAAGAATGCTGTTTTTACAGTATTTTTCATCAAAATACGTAGGTTAATGCCTTATTGTGTCACTCTGTTCCTTAAGTCAAAGAGAAGTGTTTGTGAGAGATCAGAGTTTCCATTTGGCATCTTTTTTTTAACTTATTTTCCTTGTCTTAGAAAAATTCTTTTTTAACTGCAGGAGAAAACTAAATGTGTGCATTGACACTGAAAGCTCTACAATCTTTTATAAACACCAAGAGAATGTATAGAAACATAAAATATTTGGTAAATTACTTGAGCAATCACTTTTGCAGAACTATAGTTGTGTACCAAGGCTTAGAGACGGCCAGAATTTGTTGAATAATTTTTTAATAAAATTTTACTAGTGAATATTAGATTGGGAAAAAAAGGCAGGCCTACACTGCAGCAATATTACATTGCTTTTAAGTGACCTTAAGAAGATGAATTTGCAAAGAAATGTTGTATTATTTTTGCTGTCAAGCTACTAGCAAAGATCTGTCTTCTTGGAGGCAGAGACTATCAAGTGTGTGACAGATTGGGAGATTATCTCAGAAAGAGAACTTTGATAGCTGCTCAGTACTGAATGCAAGGCTGTAAAAAAAAGGAAGAAGGGCTGTTGCCTCAAGATCAGCTTAGCTGGGTTCCAGGTACAAGTAGCTAGCACCAGTTCTGTGTTTTGTGCTTAGACTTCTTTTGATTGCTACCTTGAAAATATTTAGTGTGAATGGTTTTTTGTATGAACTGACAATAATTTATAAGCTGCATCACCTACCAGGCACCTCCTCAGTAACAGTCAGCTGTAAAGATACATTTCAGGAGCAGCTAACTCTGACCAAAACAATCAAATCTTCATGTTCCTGCAACAAAGAAAATCCGACAGATAGGAGAAAACGCAGGTGCAAACCCTTAGACAAGTGTACCATGTGGTCAGCCATACAATGAATGGGAGACTCAAGAGCAGCCCTTTTCACTGTGCCATTTATGGCTTTATGAATGGATGCATGTTCATCTTGTGACAGTTTATCAGTGGGACCTCTTACCACATATTTAATATAGCAAATCTGCATACCTAGGATTTTTTTATATTTTTTAATTTTCTTTTTCTTTATTCTTGAAATCTTTTCTACCTTGGTAAATTTTTCTTTAAAAAAAATCTATTTTTAACTTTTCTCTGCTTAAATGTTTCTGTAGTTTTTCTGCACTAAGGTACATTCCAGCACTTAAAGTTTCTTTTACTTTATTTTTATTGTCTACTTCTTTCCCCACCCCCCAAAAATACTGCACTGTAAACCTTACACAGATGGTTTCTGATTAATCAGAATGCTAAATTAATATCACCTACTTAACATTTTGCTAGGGCACAATAGATGGATAAATATGTCACTGTCTGATACCAAAAGCATGGTCTACAAGTCACTTTAAGTTAATGGGAAGAAAAAAAAATGAGAGAATAAAAAAAAAAAAATGGAACCTTCTATTTTAATGCAAAAAAAAAATAAATTCTTGATTCTTTCTGTTGTCTGGTGCAAAATGTGTAATTCTTTATGAGACATCACTGAACTAAAAGAATGTTTAATGCTAAAGTATTAGAGAAATAAAACTGAAATTGGATAAAAGTGTCTTTGAGATGACTTTCCATGAACTTCCCACTGAAGTGCTAAGCATTTTATGCTGCAATTTTTTCTGTTGTGTATGATTACATTTTGTTAATTGTCAGTGTGTAGGTTAACTTACACTCACCTCCTAGTTCCCTGTAGTGGCACTGGTAAATAATTTTTTTCACAGCATGACACCACTTCATGTCCAGCATGGGGGGCAGAGAACCAGACACACAGTCCAAGAGGAGCTGGGTTCAACCAAGTTAAGCCTGTCTTGTCTCAGGGTTTTTCTCTAGCACAAGGACTGAAGCTACCCTTGTTGGAATATGTGTGAAGAAGGGTAAAGTATGAATTAACAGTAAAATTTGATACATTTTAGCCTAGAGATCAGGAATGAAAGTTTAATTCTACGATAGATTCTAAGTGTATCTTAGGTGCAGTATTTAGAAACATATCTTGAAATAATTTAGTGCTACCATGTATAAATAAAATTTTTTTGTTCCTGAATCTTCTGAGCTTCTGCCATTTTCAGTAGTCTGACAAATGCCATGTGTGAATCTATTACTACTTATGGACTACTTATGAGCTACTGCTTTGAATGAAGGCTATTCATAACCTTTTGCTACCTACTTACTACCTGTCTCACCTCCACCTGGGTCCACAAATTCATCAGTTTCCCAGCTTGGTTGTGTTAAGACTTACAATGAAGATATTTTCTGGGAAGCATGATTGTGTAAGCCTATGCTTATAACTGCCAGCTTAACTTAAAACTTAAGAACTGCCAGTGTTCTTGTGACCAGAAATGTGTTTTGTAAATTTGCTCAACACAAACATGCCTGTTTAAAAATGCTTGCCATGCCTTGGATGTGGTACATACAATTCACTAGTCCTATATTTTATTTTTTCACATTAGTTATTTAACAGCAGCATTTGTGGCACTAAAAGGAATTATCATTCCATAACACTAGGTACTGCATTTTTTAGCAGCTGTCCAAACATCTGATCTTCAAAATAGGTGACAGATTAGTGCAACACATTTAACACAAGCTGTATCCAGAACAGTACTCAGAAGAAGTATGTTCACAGACAAATTCTAGCACAAAATGAGAGAAGTGAGAATGAAAATCCTTGTGGAAATCCCACATCTGTTGGAAAAAAGCCCATTCACTGACAAGCATGAAGGCCTTTGAATCCGTGCTATTCTACCTGCCATTCTTTGCAAATGACCAGTAACTAATGGTCAAATTTGATGACATAACCTGTAAATTAAAAGGGGTAGGAAATGCTAAAAAACACAGCATCTCATTAATGATGGAGAATAATGTACAAGGAGTAGTAGTCTAGTAGTAGTAGTAGACTAGTAGTCTGGTACACTTGTTTATGGTTTTTGAAATCTTACTTTTTCTATAGATATATATTAGGTGTGGCTCTGAAGCTTTCAGAAGGGATAGGAAAGGAAGGAGAGGTAGAGGAGGTTTGTTCAGGGGTTTGGTTGTCTAGAACCTGATGACAGTGCTGACAGGTTTGACTGTTTATGAGTAAGAAGCAGGGGGATGGCCAACAAAGCAAATGTCCTGGTGGGAGTCTGTTACAAGAAAAAAAACTCACAGAGATGGTCAAAATAAAAAGAAATTAAACCCAAATTTCCCCACAATTTTCCTGAAGAAATAGAATGGGTGTGTGGGTTTTAAACCATACAATTATGAGCAGTTAAGCATTTGAAACTTTGGAGCCCTGTATAAAATATACAGCTCCTGAGAGGAAGGGTTCAGAAGAAGTACAAAATATCAGTTAAAACCATAGATTGGTGAAGTATTACCTATTTCAATGGTTTACACTATCAGAAAACAAGACTAGAAAGATTTTTTCAAAAGAGCTGATATTCAGATTATACTGGCAGAATAGGAATGAAAGGAAACAGCTACTCAGCAGTAATATTCCTTACCGCAGACACCTTTCTGCATCATCTGTGAAACTGTTACCAGATACCCTGTGTCAGCAGGGACCTGAGGGAATGGGATGAAGCTGTGTCAGGGGAGGCTCAGGTTAGATGTTAGAAGAGGTTTTTCATTGAGAGGATGATTGGGTGCTGGAACAGGCTCCCCACAGAAGTGGTCACAGCACCAAGCATTTGGACAATGCTCTCAGGCATGATGGTTTGATTCTTGGGGTTGTCCTGTGCAGAGCCAGAAGCGGGACTTTAATTGATCCCAGTGGGTCCCTTCCAGCTCAGGATATTCTGTGATTCTTTTCAGATGGATAAAAACATCCCGGAAGAAAAAGTAATATTGGCTATGTCTAGGTACAACAAATGACATCCACCAATACCTTCTATGCACTTTTAGAGTTTATTCAGAAAGGTCTCAGTATGGAGAGTCCTGATTAAATGTACCCTGTGCCTGTGGATGGGAAAAAACAATAAACTGACCTTTATAAACAAACAAACAAATTTGCCAATATAAAAGTTGAATTATTTCTTTAAAGCAATAGTGGGAAGTATTGAGAAATTTCCCAGAGGTGGGAGTAACTCAGCAAAACAGAGAAGCTTTAAAATTTAGAAGTCACATTCTTATCAGAGTTCTTCTTGGATCAGAAGGGGTGACCTTGCTCTCTGCATTGATTTCCTACTGATGTATGAGCATTGGAGTAAAAGTAGAAGGTGGGTCCCACCTATTGCCTGTTGAGCCTCTGAGTTAAGGCAAATGCTTAAGGGATGATGCTGGGAAGATGGAGATATATTTTGAGCCGACATATGCTTTTGGTTTGTCCAAATGCAGCAAAGAAATCAAGCCTGTCTCTCTCAGTTTCAAGAGTGGGATAATAAATTGACACTTCATGGAAACATGGAAAATAAACATGCTAGGAAGAAGGCAGATCAGTCAGTCTCTGTGTCTACCATGGGCCAAGTTAGCCATGATTTATTTACCTTTCTAACTGCCAGACCCCTTTAAAAGGCAATCTTTTCAATGCAGCAAGTGAAAATGCCGTAAGTCTCCCAAGTCACCTGGAAAAGCTAGTTTATATCTGCTGTAGTTGCCAGGCAACCATCACAATCTCCCAGTTACTAAAAATTGTCTGACTGGAGTTGACCTTACTTTTATGCGATGGTTACCCCTACAGCCTTCCCCAAAATAACAAAATTCTGTCAATCTGCCAGAAACAAATTTCTGTCATTACACTGAAATTTTGCAGCCCATTACTCCATAATAAGAACTACTGCCTTTAGCTGTCCCAACAGGATAAGCTGCTACAGCAATTGATTTATTTCAGTTAGAAGCAAGGTTTTTGTCTTTAACACATTTCTGTCTTAATTTTTTTTTTAAATTAATATTCATATTGATCCTAAGCATTTATATCTGGGGACTTATTCTGCAGGCTTAGTCAAAATCACAATTAGATCAGATAGGAATGCAGCCTATTTTTAAGAATGTAGTATGTGGCCTTCGTGGCCTTACAGCAACAAAAAGCTTGTCAATAGTTACAGTATGCCAGTGTCCAGAAAGAGATCAATATCAGGGCAGAATCAATAAGCAAGAAATTCCATGCAAATTAAATAACATTAGCTTTTAAATTGCTTAGTATTCATTACTTATATTGCAAAAGAGACAGGAAAATGAAATTGCTTTACAAAAATGTAATGGTTTAACCCCAGATGTCAACTAAGGACCACACAGATCCTCACTCACTCCTTCTCCCTCCTGGTGGGATGGGGTGGAGAATCAGAAAAAGGTAAAAATTTTGGTTTGGTATAAGAACAAACTAATAATATAAATAAAGTAAATAATAACAATAGTAACAACTGCAGTGAAATTGAGAAGGAGAGAGAGGAGACAAGTGATGCATTGTACAATTTCTCACCACTTAGTGACCAATGCCCAGTCTGAGCAGTAATTGGCCTTTTCTAACCAAGTGTCTCTCCCCCCTCCCCAGTTTATATACTGGGCATGACATTCCGTGGTGTGGAATATCCCTTTGGCTAGTTCCAGTCAGATGTCCTGGTTATGACTCCTCACAGTTTCTTGTGCAGTTCCTCACTGGCAGAGCACAGGAAACTGAAAGTCCTGAAAGTCCTTGACCTAAGGGTAAGCATTACTTAACAACAGCTAGAACATCAGTGTGTTATCAACATTGTTCTCATACTGAATCCAAAACACAGCACTGTACCAGCTACTGGGAAGAAAATCAAATCTATCCCAGCTGAAACCAGAACAGAAAAGCAGATATTTATCATCTCTATATTGCAAGCAGGGGGCATTAAAAAAGAGGGGTTAAGGGTTCCTAAAGACAAAGTAGTCAGCCTAAATTCCAGTGCTATTTCATCTTCCTAATTTAATGACATCTGAAATTCTTAGAGAAGACATCCAGAAAGAAACCAATATTAACTAGTGGTTTACCAGGGTAATGCTTAATTTACCTATCTACCCAACTTAAATGGATGCGTTCGGATCAAGCTACATTTTCTCTTCTGTCAGTGGGGAAAGTTCCCAAGGAAGGTTCATCCCATCTGAATGATATATTTATGTCTGTATTGCCAAAAGAGAAATGCAATCCAGATGAAAAACAGATACTCAACTTCTAGACAACTGAGGTTCAATGAGATAAATTGCTCACTCATAGGTAGTCAATGCAAAGCAATGTGCAGATGGACTTTAAGGTCACATTGCAATTATGTGCAACAAAGATAGAACTATTGTGATCTCATTTGATCCAGCTCTGTGTTTTATTCCCTGAATCTACCCTTTCTGAAGATATTTTTCCTGTGCTGAAAATATTTTTTTTTTCAGCACTTTAAAAAACTTTTAAATCTAAAAAGATTAGAGTAAGTAAGTTACTGTTTCTTTCCAGATAGGTATCATTTGCGTTCTGCAACCTCAACATCTTAGCCTAGAATGAGACACAATCATGTTATAACAATATGACTCATACTTAGCCTACTTTTAAAAAAAGTGCAAGGGTTGCCAAGTAAAATGATAATATAAAAGTGTTAAGTATAAGAAAGTTGTAAGGACCTCTAACAAAGAACACGATTCAGGATCCTTCTTGACAAAATACCAATTTACTTTCTATATCACTCAAAAAGAAATTAGACTTAAAGGAGATATAAGCATAATTTTCTTCTACTATACAGCTAATTTGGCTTTAGACAAGTTATATTTTATATTAAATGCAATGTAACATAACTTTGCATTTAGTTTTTCATGGTGACATTCATAATACTGCCAGTGAAGTTGATAACAAAACTAATTCAGTAATGTATAATGTTTTCACTTGTTTACCATTAAAAAATTAATGTGAAATAATATCTTGAAAGTGAT